TCCTCATCCTAATTGAACCAAGGATTTAAGAAGCATAAATGAATCTGAGAGAAAAATGAAAACAGTTTTAATAGATTTAGATCAATATATTGTTAGTAATAATTTGAAACAAACAGAATCATAGGAATGTATACAGTTATGAGTGGTTGTATGCCAGTAGATTCACATAAATTTCATTTTTTTTCGACGTCATTTCATTTTGTTTATATATGTACAAGCTGTAATATTCAGCATATTTTTTTAAATATTCATTATTATTATCATCATCATTATATCATAAGATATCATAAGATATCATTGACATATTCATTTATCAAATGACTGTATGGGATATGCAGTTCATTTGAATTCGCGGAATTTGGAAATCGTAGTTAAAGATCAGTAATAAGGGATTTTTCTAATGGTATACACTGCATCGAATAGATATACATGTTTTCTGGGTATACGTTATGGAGATATAAACACATTTTTGCCAAAGATAAATCTCCAGTAGTATAAAGTTCACTGAAGTCAATATTAATAACAATAGAATAAAGAGGAAATAGTATTAGACTGAATATAAAAATCAGTAGCCGACCCTCTAGAAGACCCAGTTTACGGAATTTATGAAATACAAGATTTTTGAGAAAGAAAGGTTTTAGCTTCCTGCTTTTCCATCTTCATACAAAAAAGTGGGACTCGATGCTATTGAAATCAATTGCTTCCTTCTTTAATTACATTTATTATTATTATTTCTTTGGAAGATTCTCACATTTTTTTGGATAAAGTTGCAGAAGTAGATAGCCAAAATATTTTTCCCAAAAAAAAAGTATCTCCACTGAAAATGTACCCCTTTGAATTTGAACAAGATTGAACGTTGTCACCAAAATTTTTGACACTGATAAAGAACGAAATTATATCACGAGTAAAGCATTTATTCAGTTCATCAATATTTTTATCCTTTTTTAACTTCTGGAATTAACGATTTCAATTCGACTGAATCAATAAAAAATTAAATCATCAATTCTAAAGGAGCAATTCAATAAAAATCTATTCAATTCTTATATATTCTGAACCGAATACGTAGAAATTTGGGAAAGTTCGATGCATCAGACGCACGTTGCGTAATTTTTAGGTATACACTGGAATGTCAGAGGTCGATATAAGTGAAAGGTAAGAGTACTCACCAAATATTTCATGATGATCTTCAACGCTGAGACTAGGACGTATACAAAGTCTTGATCGGAGAAATGGCTTTATATACCCTCTCTTCTGAAGACTTCTCACTCTTCAAAATGTTTGAAGGTAGACAGTTTGGAATGAGACACTTTTTTCTTGTGAAATATGATATTCGAGAATTTTTCAAATTATCATTATGTAAGGTTTTCAGAAATTGTCGAAATAATCGTTGTCATATCGAACATCATTCCATTATTTCTAGTTTGATTCCTGCATACTAATGACAAAATTATGGAGAATGTTTCGAATAATTTAGCAAGATCCTTATTTGGAAAAAAGTCAAGAGAATCGGGACATCAAATTGTTGATGTGGGATGGAATCCCTTGCCTAAATTTTCAATAACATTCGCTTCAAATTCACAATAAAAAACTTTATAGTAAGAGATCATTTCGTTTTGTATTTTCATTTTATTCAATAATATTATTCAAGAACTATGACTTTGATTATGCTAGTACATATTCGCAGATGGCGTAAGTGTTTTTTTTTGTTCTGAGTATCCAAGATTCTACAAAATGACCTGAGAAAGTTCTGAAAATAATTCAGCACAATACCATTGGAGCTTCAGGGCTGAAGCAAGGGGGAAACATCACCCGAAATTTGGTGCTGATATACCTACAGGGTGTAACTAAATAAGTGTGAAACATTAAAGGAGATGATTCCTTATCAAAAAAAAAGGATCTCTCATATAAAGAAATTTCATTGGAGCATCCCTTGTTGAGATACAGCCCCTTAAAGGGGGTACATAAAATTTGTATAACAACTTTTTTCACAAGAACTAAAGAAGTTACAAAACTAATCTTTGTTATATTGGATGTTCTTATTAATTAACCATTCTTGCATTGCTGCTTTTTTCCATGATTGTTTCGATAATGGTTCTAAATGTCGACTATGGTATGGGGCATTGTCCATGACGATGACAGACCCAGGTTCCACAAGTTGAATGATGCCTTCAAACCATTTTTCAAACACCTCCGCATTCATCTCTTCATGATAGTCGCCTGTTTTCTTAGATTTAAATATTAATTCACCATTTGGTAAAAATCCACTGTCGCTTCCTANCCAAAAAAATAAATAAAAGATGAATGAAACTGTGATTGTTGCAAATAATGATATTATAATATGAATTCGAACAAACGCCTCACCTAAAGAGTTTATTTTACCTATTCCTTACAACATATCTATAATTTTTTTTCATTTCAGTCCAACGAATAGTCTCCATATTCTGTTTTGAAATTTGTGAAATTCAATTGTTTGAGAGAGTTGGGTACAGTATAGTTTTGGCAAATTTGGTACCTTAAAGACCGTCTGAACACTTCTGTTTTGTAATTTGGCATTGCAAGCATAATTTTATATCCAATATTCAAGTTTAAGATGTCTGTACCATATGTAAGTCTAAGGCACGAGTTCTGAACTTTTTAAATCTCATTTTTGTATTGACTTGAACATGGAACATAAATAATATCCGCGTAGTTGAAAACTGAAAGCACTGAAGATTCAAACTTTTTCTCATGATGAGGCAAAATACGTCGGTTACTAACTAATTAACTAACTAACTGATTTTCAGTGCAGAGAAGACTCGTTGTAAGACTTTATTTATAAATTTTCCAAATCTCAGGTCTACAAACACTCCATAAATATTTGTTATTTCTTTCTAGACGCCTTTTGCTAACACCGTAGCGTCCTCCAATGAGCTAAACTCCTTTATACAACAAAAATTGGTATAGTCGAAGTAAACGATATTGTGCACTCTTAAAGTTGACGGCACTCTCAAAGGCAAGAAAACCAATACATACAAATAAACCGGCAGCGAACTAATCCACGTGGACTGTAGACTTAGCGGTTCGTATTGGATGTTACGGTGACGATTAGAAATCGGGAATGCGGGGATGGTTATCACCGTCGTCTTCAGTTCAGGAACTGATCGCGATTGGAGTGTTGACATTCGATATTGGTGCAGTTATAATTACTCAAAATTTTTGTTATCTGTTTGAAATGTGGCGTCCTTGGACAAGGACCAATAGTAATAACGAGTGTGATAACAACGCAGACTTTTTCCAGTGTAGTGATTCCAATAGCGATGGTGAAGAATGCGAAAAAGAGATACCAGTGAATAAGATTCGAATGCATTTGAATAATGAAACACAGAGATTTTGTTTCAATGTATATAAGATTATACACCTCAAGTTTGGTTTCAAGTGAAACAAACTATTACAAGCAACATCAGATTGGACCGAAATTCCTTTCTCAACTGTACGTAAACTAGTCAAAAACAAACTTTATGAACGCAGGACGCGATGTGATATAGGTTTACCAAAACCTTAGGATGTTCATCTAATAAAATCATTGAAAAAAAAAACAATATACGACTGTTACAAAAGCAATGAGAATCATAAGGAAGAAATTGAATACTTCCGGCCATAACGTGAGCTGCTGTCATAAAACTCTTCAGAATTGGATTAAGAAACTAGGATTCACATTTAAAATAAAAAACAAACGTCAAGCAGTTATGGAAAGCAGAAGAATAGTGAAATTGTGTAACAAATACTAAGAANACATGACCATCATCAGCTTTTTTTAATATGGACCTGTCTTTTTCAATAGAGATATTTATGAAGTGATAAATTCACAGTCCAAGGGTATATCACATTCGATAGTTTTATAACGTTTCATTTAATAATAATAATAATAATAGTAATGGCTTTTATTGATGGTTCCATACAATTACAACCAATCAAATGGCAGTATTCAATATCTGCGTATGATACATCATCGCAGAGATTGCTCTTCCATTCAACCGTAAGAGCAAAAGAAAAAGAGGAAAAAAACAGTAGTATATCAAGAACAGTGCAACAAATATATTCAGCGAAATTGAAATACAAATATATACAGGGAGTAACTAAATTAGTGTAAAATATTGAAGGAGGTGATTCCTCATCGAAAAAAAGATAGGATCTTTCATATGAAGAAATTTCATTGGAGCATCCCTTGTTAGGATACAGCCCCTTAAAGGGGGTACATAAAATTTGTATAACAATTTTTTGCACAAGCACTGAAAAAGTTACAATATTGAAATTAACCTGACGTTTTGTACTACCAAAAAGAAACTTCTAACCCATTTCCCTGTGACAGACCGTTAACGTAATGCATATCAGTCATTATTTCCTCATTTGTGTATGCCATTTTAATAACCAGTGAATTATTAATTCACAAACTGACAGCGTCAAACCAATTTAATTGTCACTATCGCCAATAGCGACCTACTAGAAATTAGGACCTTTATCTCTAGTTTTCATGTTTCTGAACTTGTTGATTAGACTAATAGAAAAATGATCCAAGTAAATGTTCAAAAAGGACCTCCATGAGAACGATAGTATCGACCTCAACTTATAGATTAAATGAAATAGGAGAAAAAATTGACATCGATCAGCAATGTTCGAGCTGATGAAGAGGAGAACAGTTCAGATGGAGAGAAAGAAGTCTCGTTCTTTAGTGAAACGCCTCTTGGATAGTGTTAATTATAATTAACACTATGATAATTATGAATCCTCTGATAATTATCAGAGGATTCATAATCCATTATTGCACCAGTGAATCAATCATCAGAAACAGCAAAATTATACCTCATCAACATTTTTTCTCTGAAGATGGTAATAAACTTTATCGAATTCTTCCCTTATGGGTTATTCATAGATTCATATTTTTTACTTCTTTGGAAGACTGAAATCTGTGGAAATATGATTTTGATCCGCAATAAATTTGAAGCTAAAGAAATTAAGAGATCTACTATTTCACTGTTCTTTATTTTTTAGGTGCATTATTGCTTCAATTCCATTTTGAGCAAAGGTACAGTTCACATACTTTTGTATCGTCATATGGTACAGCTGAAGTGTCTCCGATGTCATGATCGCCTACCATAAGTAGGCAAACAACCTTCATTTCCACACAATTCCACACAATTCCTCACTATCCAGTCTAATGAAACAGTATCAATATATTTGCTTGAGATGAGCTCCGTACGGCCTATGAAATATCTTGAAACCGGTGGATGAATCAAAGTTTCCGATATTTCTGATCATATTCAAGGTAGGCACAAAATTGTGAAAGTAAGAATGTGACATACGTGAAAAATTATCGTGGCCAAAATGTCTCCATGAAATGGAACGTTTCACAAAGATGTAGAAAGATAGTGTTAATGATCAGGGTATGGTTGCTTATTTTTTCGATAGTGTGGTGTATTCAAATCACGTTCTTGTCTATATGGTGGTTTATGTTTCTCTTCTTTTGGACACTGCCTGCTTGGTTTCTTATGAGTGGGGCAAGGAGGAGGGTGACTTCTATTTTTAATCTCATCCAGCCTCAAATTCATCTGAAACAATGGAAAATGTAATTCTTTCAGTGTCACTAAATCACCAAGTGTTTGTTTCTAGAGACGAAAGTTAGGATTTTCCTTTTGTCTCACAAACAATGATACAGTAAAGGGCATAGAGGAGTCCGCTGTTTTCTAGAAGGTACATTTTCAGGTACCTAACGATTAGATCTTAACAAACCTTATTTTAAAAATATCACATGTTTTTTTAACACAGTAGGTTTTTTCGTAGTGAAAAACATACTGAAAGTTAATTCTCTACTCTAATTTTTATATACTCCACGTAATCACCAGAGAGAACTACCTACTCAGGTGAGTACTTGATCATAATCACCTAGATCAGGGGTCTCCAAACTACGGCCCGCGGGCCAAATCCGGCCCGCCAGTGTCATCAATCTGGCCCGCGACAGCCAATGATTTACTATCATCAATCTGGCCCGCAACAGCCGATGATTACCTATTTGTTGTTACTATTGCTGTGATAAGTTGAAGAAGAAAACAAAGAATGATAATTACTCGGTTTCATTTACTTGCAAGGTAAAACTTAACGGCAGAAATGATGACAAAGAAAACTTAACGTAAGTATCTAAGTTTAGGCTTATTGATAACTAACAAATAATTGAAATGAATCACAGTAAAACAAAAACACTAATGAGATTTATTTAATTGTGATTTTCCACCAACAATACTTTGTAGTAGTGGATCAATTTTACTTGTACCAATTATCAAAAGGAATTTAAGATGCTAATCGGTAAACATCTGTAAACATTCTTTGTGTACTTCATCTAGGAAAAAGTTTTCTCACACAAGTACCTAAGTAGTTTCAAAAACAGAAAACAACCCACGAGCAAATTTATGCAAATTATCAAATTGTTCCAGTGGAAGACTCTTATGAAATTCCAACAAAGATGAATTTTGATATTTGTTCTTAAGCATATCNTTACTGCCATCTCGAGGTGATCGGAATACACTAGCTAGAACCAGAACTTTCTCGAACCAAATATTTGATTACGCCTAATGCCACCTAGCGGGTAGCTGAAAAAGATAGTACTCGCCACTAGATGTCGGTGTCACAATACACAATAATAATTGAAATGCAAAAAAGCGTAACTTTGCTCAGGTCACGCACTTCGCGACTATCCTAGTCTATAAATATAGTTAATAGCAGAAATTGACCCTTGGAACAAACTGAAAAAATCATTATGGCCCGAAGGCTTCAAAGTTTGGAGACCCCTGACCTAGAGCATCTACTCAACTTTCATATACTTAACGTACATTCTCAATTATGATTGCCTAGAGCATATTATATCAATTCTACATCAATAATAATATGCCTACAAAGACTACGATAACATCGGTTTCTAAGGAAACAAGTTCAGTACTGCTCATCTATTTAATCCACTTGGTCATTCAGTAGATTGTTTGAATTTTCAAGTTCAATAATTTCTATCTCTTTCAAATGATTTAGCTACAAACCTTTATTTTCTATGTGTAATATTTCGAAATCTCCGTTAAAGATATGATTTTCTTCCAAAAGATTTTTTGAATATGTTAACCTTCTTTTCTTTTTTTACATAGCTCATATGATGTTACTGGTTGCGGTTCCTGAATTTTCTGCCGGTTTGGCCAATATATACCTTAGGAAAAGTTCCACAGTTTAATTCATATATTTCTGATTTATCGAATTTGGATGTATTGTTTCTATTATTTTTAACTAACCTTCCCAATGTATTACCTGTTCTATATGCAATTGTAAAGTCTTGTTTTTTCAAAAATGAAGCCACTTTTCTGTTGTTGATATCCAGTTCAGCGAAAGATTCATTAACTTGACCAAAGTACAATTTAACAAAGATGAAATTTCAACAATGTCCAAGGGGCCGAAATAAACACCAACAATAATTAATAAAAATAGTTTGGATACGTTGATAACAGATACAGCTATTGCATTGAAACAGACAGATAATAGAGATATATGGGGCATACAAGATAAATGAAGTAATTCAAAACCATCCATTCTCTTTATCAAACGGGACGTTTTTCCTATTGATATGTTAGATAATGAAAACGAAAGTAATTGAGCTTCATCATATTTTGGCCAAATAACAGAGAAGGTGGCTTCATTTATGTATAAACAAGATATTAAAATTGACTATAGAATAGGTGATACGTTGGGAAATTTAGTTAAAAATAATAAAGACAAAACATCCAAATGCGAGAAATCAGGAGTATGTAAATTAAATTCCGAAACTTGTCCTCAGGTATGTATTGGTCAATCTGGCAGAACATTTAGGAATCGCATCCTGGACCATCATATGTTCAACAAGTTCAACATATTAGAATCATCTTTCAGAAAAAGACATGCCTTCACGGAGATTTCCAAATTTCACAATTGTTTTCTTAAAAACCGATGTTATCCTAGTCTTCGTAGACATATTTTTATTGCCTAGTTGTTTCCCGTGGCTTCGCTTAAGTGGAATTTGGTTTTCCACATAGTTACAATATTTTTTATCGACCCAAAACTTTAGATTTCCAACTTCAAAATTGACGAAATCGATACAATCTTTGATCCCCCATTTTTCCTTCTGGGGGATTGGAAATTCCTGATTCGCAGTATAAGCTGTATTTATGTATATTTTCATTTGAATCCGTCGTTTAGGTGTGAAAGAGCCACATACAGTGTGACCCATTTTTAATGGAAACACCCCCCTAAAATTTGAAGATGTAAATCGATTTCAATAATAATTTTTTAATGACAAGTACTAAGAGGTCTACCTTAGGACAGAATTTTAAATGTTTATTCAAGTTTCAGGGCATATTACGATTTTTTTCATAATCGAAAATCGGGATTTTTTTAGCGATTT